AGCTTAAGTCTTTATATTATATAATATAAGATATTATAGCTAGCTAGACTTCTTAAAGGTTTATTTAGCAAGTATTATATTTATTATATATTATAAAAATAAGAGAAATATATAGTTAACTATCAGCTGTATAGAACAGGTTTTTCTTATTTTTTAAGTATAATATATAAATATTATAGGAAAATATTATAGTATCTAAATTTATTAAAATAATTAAAAAAGCCTATATAATATAGTAAGAGTAAGTAAATAAGAGTTAATATTATTATTAGCAATATAACTATAGTAATATTTAAACCTTTTTTTATTATTTTTTCTTTTTATTAAATTCCCTAAGGCAGAATTAAGGCAATACTAATAATATTAATTAGACTAGAAGTAAAGCCTTATAATAGTTTATACAGACTAGAAATTAAGGCTATAATTATACTAACTATATAAATATAATACCCTACCGATTAAATTAGTCTAATATATAAATATAATAATATTAAATATAGAATATAGACTAACCTCTAGTATAGCTATATTAGTTCTTATAGTATAGTAACTAAAACTAGTATTAAGCTTTAAATAGAAACTATTTATAATAGTACAGAAATAATAATTAAGCTCCTTTTTTTTTAGCATAGCCTTAAGCTATAGCTTATATAGATATTAAGATAGAGTAAGCTATAAATATTATAGATAGAAACTATAATTAGTAAAATAGCTATTATAATATACCTAGGTTAAAAGTATATAATATAATACCTCCTAATTAAACCTTAGATCTAATTAACTTTAAAGAATATAATAGTTACTATTATTAAGATAGTTACTAAGATAAATATAATAATTCTTAGTATATAGACTATAGTAAAGATAATTATAATACCTATATTAACTATACTATACTATAGATTACTTTTATATTTAAATATTAGCTATACTAAGTAATCTTCTAGTTAAATAATAAGCTCTATAATTATTTATATAATACTAATTATTATTAAAAATTAACGCTATATTCCCTTATTATTAAAGCCTCTAATATTATATTACTTATTACTATATATATAATTATAGCTATACTATAATTTATTATTGCTAAGTCCCTAGTTAAATAAACTCCTCCTAGATATATCTTTTACAGATAGTATTATATTATAATAAAAATATATATTATTAATAGTATAGTAGGGAGAATTAGTTAGGAGAATATAACTAGCTAAAGCAGTTATATATTATTATTAGAAGAGGTAGTTTAAATACTTCTAATAAAGTAGTAAGAGGGAGAGATAGATAAGCAAGAATAGAATAAAAAATTTCCCTCTTTTAACTATTATCTAGTATCAGTTTAGTATAAAAAAAGAATCAGTTTATTATATTATCTTATTATTAGAGCTTCTTCTCTAGTTCTACTTTAAACTCTGAAAATAAGTGCTTCTCTTCCTCTTCTTTATATCTTTATGCTTAAAGACTCTATACTAAGTCTTAATATCTTATCCTACAATAAATTAGAGTTAAATATAGGGGGCATTAAAATATTAAGCAAAAATAAGGGAGAAAGGGGAATTAGAAGTTAAGGTTAAGGCTAAAGCTAAAAAAAAGGATAAAAAGCGGTAAAAAGATAAGTAAAATAACTAAGGGAGATTACCACTATAAATAAAAAAAAAATAAATATATCTCTTAAATTAGTAGAGACAATAAATATAATATAGGGTAAAAACACACACTAGCAATAAAAAAAAGGAAGAATTACTAAATATAAAGAAAAGCTTAATAGATATAAAAGGAAAGCAAAAATTTAAAAAAAATAAAAAATCACTAAGTAAAAACTATTTATTAAAAAATAGAAGAACTTCTTATTATTATCTTTATTACTATTCTTTTAAAAAAATATAGAGAAAAATATTAATCTTTTTAGTATTAGTTAAGGAAGAAGGACTTCTAACTCCTTAATATTATTAGGTCTAAAGATATAGATAGCTTAAGCATCTAAAAATATAGAACTACTAATAATATAATTAATCTAGGTTATATCGGCTCTATAAATACTAATACCTAGAAATCTTAGGGCACTATATTTTAAAAGGGATAATATTACTTATTATTTAAGGCTTTTTAAAAGGCTATATAAAGCGAATTAACTCCTAGAAGAAGAAAAAACTAAATAATTTATAGACTATTATAGCCCGTTAGTATTATTATAGATAAATACTTAACCTAAATATAAGAAAAAAACTACTTAAAACTGGTAAAAGCAATTAAATAAGAATATATCTACTATAATAAGTATTAAAGGAAATATAATATCTAATAGCTAGAAAGGTTTAAAAATATAAAATATAATAGCTCTAAGGACCTAAAAAAGTATAATTAAGAATATTAAGCTATATTAGAAGCATTAGTAACTTCAGATAAGTTAAGCTAATATTTATAGGGAGTTTAGTATCTTTAGACTTTTAAAGGAGCTTAAGCAGCAGATAGTTTAGGAGTTAAATATAGATTATTATATCTTATCTATTATTAAATATACTAATTTCTATAAAGAAATAGTAAATAGAGTAAGAACTATTAAAATCCTTTGCTATCTTAATAATAATAAACTAAAAAAAGATTAAGATATAGTGGCTTTAATAAAGGAAAAAGTAACTAAAGAAGATAATATATAATTTTTTATTAAACTTAATAGAACTTACTTAGATAAGAATAAGAATAGAACTAAATAATAGAGCATTAAAATAAAATTAATAAAATAATTATAAATTAATTAGTTAATAAAAGAGTTTAAGAAATTAAAACTATATAATATATAAGAAGGCCTAATAATAGCATACCTAATACTGGCATAAATATATAAACTAAAGCGCCTTTAGAATTTAACCTAATTAAAAGATTTAAAATACCTCTAAATTTATATAACTTTTACTAGGCTCCTAATTATATTTAATCTTATTACCTAGATTTAAAAAGCCTCCTAAATTAGAAGCTTATCTATTAAGGAGAAAATTATAAACTTTACTTTAGGCTAAAAAGATAGAATAGAGAAGTTATTTATCTTATATAAGGAAATATATTATAAAAGAAGATTATTAAATAGAGACTAAAGAAAGAGTAAAGGAATATTAATTTAATTAGATATAATATCTAATTAATTATACTAAAATAGCCTAAGGATAACTTAAGCTCTAAGGAAGAAGCTAAAAATATTATAAAAAATTATTACTTTATTAATATAATAGAATTAGATAAGTCTTAAGAAGTAAAAAAAAGGTAAAGCGGGATTAAATAACTATATAAAGAAAAACTATAGAAAGTAATTAAATAAGAATAGAGATTTCCCTTAGTTAAGATAAATTAATTTGGCAATTATTAGTCTCTAAATATAACTAAAAGAATAAGGATAATTAAAGAAGAAATAAAAAATATACCTAAGCAGAGTAAAGATAAAAAGATTATTAAAATAAAAAAGAAATAGAAATTAAAGAGATTTAAAATTATAAATAAGCTAAAAGAGACTATTAATATAATAGGGGTTATAAACTAGATACTAAATACTAGAGTTTAAATATTAATTTGGGACCTTATTTATCTTATAACTATAGTAAGTAATAACTAAGGCAATATTCTATAATACTAAAAGAGTACAGTTTAATACCTTTATATTAAATATAGAATATATAATAAATAGTATAGATTAGTATATTTATATATCTTTATAACTTAAGCCTTTTAATAAAGATAAGGTGCTATATATAGCTATAACTCTAAAGTTGCCGATTAAAATTAATAGTTATAAGAAAGTATAAAATATTATAATAAATAATAGAGCCGAAATTAATATAATATATAAAGATATAGCAAATTACTATAAACTTATTATAAGCTAAAAATTTAAAGATAATATAATATCAGCAGATAGCAGGTAGATCTCTTTTATAAGTCTTTATAAAAAAATACCTATATAAGTAAGATCTTTCTATTATAAAGTCCCTTTCTTTATAATAAATAATAAGATTAACTATAATTATATTCTAGGATAGCTTTTTAAGCATTAAGTATATTTACAGCATATTATTTTATTAGATAGGATAATAGAGAGCATAATTTATTCTATAGACTAAAAGAATTAAGCTATTATTTAGATATTCTTAATAAATAATCTATAAAATAAGTTAAGAGAAAAAGTTTTATAAGACCTTTTGTTAAAAATATAAGAATTATTAAACTAAAGCTAAAAAAAAATAATAAATATTAGACTAAGAAAAGAGAAGACCTATAGGAAGCATATTTAATAAATAATATTAACTTTAGATTAAACAGAAGAATTAAAAAAAAAGATATAGGAATATTTAAACCTATTAAATTATAAAAAAAAAATTTATAGGGGTATAAATTATTTAAAAGATATAATCTTTTTACTATAAGAGTAAATTATGCTATTAATACCTAGTATAAAAAGAAGCATAAGAAAATTTATCTAGTAAATATAGTAAATAGACCTATAGCAGCATTAAGAGAATTATTAAAATAAAAAAAGATTATCTAAAAGTATTATTACTTAAACCCTTAAAAGAATATAAAAAAAATATAGGGAGAATTTACTAATTATATCTAGCTAAAAATATTAGATATAGTAAAAAGAATAAGACTAATCTTAAAATACTTAAAGAATCTTATTATAAGGGAAGTCTTATAGCCTAGAGAAAAAAAAATTATTAATAGAAGTGCTCTTCACTAAAAAAGCTATTCTTATATAAACTTTTAAAGAGATTAGATAAATATATCCTAAAGTAGTATCTCCAGTTATTATTTAGACTATATAATATAAGCTATAATAAGCAAAGAGCTTTCTAATATTAAAGATATTTTATAATATAATATAAATAATAATAAAGAAAAGAATAAAAGTTAGAATCCTTAAATAAAGTTAGGGGCCCTATAGGAACCTATAGTTTCTTATAAAAAAAAATAGCAAATACTAATTAATTAATACAGTAATAAAAATTAACTAAATAATAATAAGAGATATTAATTTACCCCCCTTAGCTAATAAATTCTCTAAGGAGTTTAGCAGAATATTAGTATCTATATTAATAGATTTATTCTCTAAATATAATCAGTTAAAATTAGCAGAAGAATTATACAACTTAATAGCTTTTTATATACCTAGGATTAATTTAGTTTGCTAAGCTAAACTACTATAAAGATAGATTAATATAGTGCTAGAATTTATATATAAGATTATAAAAGTGCTTATTAATAATATCCCTAATATCTATAATATATTTTTAGATAATACTCTAATACAAGGTCCTAAGACTAACTATAGAGAAGAGAAAGTACTGCCTAAAATCAGGAGGTTTATATTTAAATATATCTAAAATATTAATAAAATACTATATAATTTTAAACTTGCTGGCCTAACTATTACTAAAAAAAAATTATAATTTATAGTTCTAGGGATTAAAGTAGTAAAATATATATATAATATAGAAGGGAGGTATCTAAAATCTATAAAAATAATTAAGATTCTAAAATAATTACTCTATTAAAACTTATAAGAAGCAAAAAGATTTCTAGGGATTATAGTCTATTATCAGATATAGATTAAAAGATATATTACTAAAGCTAAGCCGATATATTTAATACTAAGGAAAGAGTAAAACTTCCTTTTAAAGACTAGAATAGCAAGACTTAATAAATATTTTAAAAGTAGCCTTAATAACAGCTCTAGCGCTTAAATTAATTAACTATAAAAAAGAGGGAATAATTATTGTTAATATAGATACTAATAATAATAAATAGAGGGCATAACTTACTTAAAAAAAAAGAATCTAATAAAAAATACCTAGCTAGATATAAAAGTAGAGTATAGACCTAAATAAAAAAGCAATATAATAAAGGAAAGTTAGAATATAGGGTAATATTAAAGGCTCTCTATAAATTTTAAGTATACCTATATAATATATACTTTCAGCTAGAAATAAATATAAAAACTTTAATTATATAATTAAATAAGATAGCTATAGACCTTCTAAGATTAATAATTGCTTACTAAATTGTTTAGATCTAGTTATTTAACTTTAATATTATCTATATAGTAGGAAGAAAGAACTTAGTTATAAATAAATTATCTTAAAAACTAATAATAAAGTAAGACCTAAAGGAAGCTAAAGATAATAATATAGAGGAATTCTTAAACCTATAATTTTATACAGTCTATTATATTAGCGTATAAGAAGTAGAATTAGATAATATCCTCTAATTAATACCTACACTATATTAATTAGAAAAATCTTTACTAATTATAGAATAGCTATAAACTATAATAAAACCAGATAATATAGACTGGGGATAATATACTAAATTTAAAAAGGAGGCCGTAAAGTATATAATATAAAATAATATTCTTTTCTAGAGAATATAGCAGAATTAGCCTTATTAAATAATTATTAATAATAAAAAAAAGTAAAAAAAGATCTTTACTACCCTTTATAAAAAATATAGATATTAGAAATATAAAGCAATATATAGAAAAATAGCTAATTAATATTAGTAGAAAGGCCTGTATAAGTATATTATTAGATAGGTGAAGATATATAATAAATATTAGAAAGCTAATAAAGAATATATAGAAGAAGCTTTATAGTTAATATTTATTTTATTAAAAAAATTAAAGCTATATCTAAATATCTGCAAGATTATACCGCTTAGTAAGAGAAAAATTTATATTACTATATTTTAAGACAACTTTAGCTAAGTTAAATATAAAGCCTTTAATAGCCCTACTTTAAGAGCTATTACTAAATTTTTATAAAAAGATTAGATTTATTGCTAAAAAATAATAAAGACTTTTATTAATAATAAAGGACTAGAGAATAAAGCCGCAGTTAATATATTAATATAAAAGTATAAGATTAACTATATTAAAGTCTTACTATATAACCCGCAAGCAAATAGAGCGGTTAAAATTATATATAAATCCTTTATATATAGCATTAGAAAACTTATAAAAAGAATAAGGGTAAATTAAGTAAACTATCTATTAGTAGTAATCTAGGCAGATAAAAATATAGTTAAGACCTCTACTAATTTAATATTATTTAGAGTAATTATAGGATATAATATAATATTGCCAATTAAATTAGAAATATCTATTTAAAAAATATTAGTATAAGATAAAGTTAAAACTATAGAAGACCTTCTACTTCTTTATATAAAGCAGATAGAGCTTAAAGATTAGGATATAGAAGAAATATAGCTTTATATCTAATATATAAAAAAAGCTAATAAGGAAGCCTTTAATAATAGAAAGCAACTTTATAAGAAATAGCTGATTAAAGGATAACTTATTTTACTCTATAATATAAAGCTTAAGATATCTTACTTTGCCAAACCAGTATATTACTAGTTTAAACTATATTAAATTAAGGAAGTCCTTTAGAAAGGTTCTTATAAGCTTAAAGAGTTAAATAATATAGCTTTTTAAGATCTAATCTATAGAAATTACTTAAAAGGCTATTATTTATAAGATAATTAAAAAGATATACTAACAGTAAATAATAATATAAAACTTAAGTAAAAAAATTAGCAAATAAATAATAGTAAAGATAATATAAACTAGATATTACTTAGATTAATATATATAGTTATAATTCTAGCATTCTTCTTTTAAAAATATTAGCTTAAAAGAGGGAAAAATAGAAGGCTAGCAATAAAGCAAGCTTAATATTAGATAAGGGTTTAGCTTAAGATAAAAAAAAACAGATAAATAAAAGATAAGGATATCTAAATTTTTTTAGAAGAGAAGGGACTTAAAAATAGATAAAATAAAAGAGTATATACAATATTATTAGAAAAATAAGGCTAGACTCTTCTAATTACTAAAAAAGAAAGATATTAAATAAAGAATATAAAACAATAATAAAAAAATCTCACTTTATATTAAAAACCTTATTTCTTTACTTATAAATATTATTTAAAAACTTAAGTCTAATTATTTATTCTATACCCTCTTTCTATATTAAATATTGCTAAACAAAAACTACTACATATTCCTACTAAACTAAAATAAAAAAAAAATACTCTTTAAATTTAAAATATTATTCTATAGAAACAATTACTAAAGTTTAATATAAGTATTTATATAATTATAAGCAAGATCTATAATCTTATAAAGAAGGCAATTACTATAATAAAAGATAGACTAGAAAAGATTAAATTTATAGTAGAAATAGCAGTTATTATTATAAAGTTTTAAATTAAATAAGATAAGGCTATAATAGATTATTATAAGTTTTTATTATAATAAAAGCTTCTAAAAAAAATATAAATAAAAGAAGAAAAAGTAATTAGAGAACTAAAAAAATTAGTAAAAAGAGTAAGAGAAAATAGGAACTATATAAATAAAGAGTATTTGTTAATAGTAATAGTATAGAGAAAGTAAATAGTTAGCTAATTAATAATATTAGCCAGGAAATCCTATTAAACCTTAATAATATTAAAAAAGATTATAAAATAAACTAAAGAATAGAGAGCAATAGCTATTTACTTAATATAAGCTTAAGTAAACAGATTATTAAATATTGAAAAGCTTAGTATATAACTAAATAAAAGCCTACTATTAATAGATATAAAAAGGACAAAAAATTTATTAAAAAGAATAATAAACAGGAGTAAATAGTTTCTATTTAAAATAATAAAAGCAAAGCTTTAATTAATTAACATATAGATTGGGGAAGACTTCTTTTTAAAGGAGATTCTAGAATATAAAGTAGAAAAAACAATTAAAGACCTAAGAGAGAGTTTATTAATTAATCTTACTATTAGTAATAAGGAAAGTAATAAGATAAAAGAAAAAAAAAGGATAAAAAGAGAATAAAGAGCCCTAAGAAGCCTAAAGGTAAGAAAAAGATTAAAATATAAGAAAAAGGGAAATAGGCTAAGGAAAGTTATAGATATAGGACTAAAATAATAAAATTATTTAAAAGAGCTCTCCTTAATTAGGAAGATAAAGAAGTTATAAATAGCTTTTAATAAAGAGGAACTAAAATTAATAAATTCTATTATAAATATATTAATAAGATTTAAGTAATATTAAGCATATATATATAATAAAAGAAAAATTATTAGAGAAAAGATTAAAAATACTTATTAAAAATAATAAAAATCTCTATAACTTAGTAATATATAATAAATATTAGAGGTAGTTAGTTCTAATATAGCTATTGTCTAGATTTATTTTTTAAGAACTATAATTATAGTAATAAAAAAATCATTAGAATAAAATTAAATTAGCGGCCAATAAATGTTAGAAAAAGATATAGAGGAGATATTATATTAATTAATATTAAAGAGGCTTTAGAAGATCTGTAACCTCTATATATGCCTTTTAATAGGTATAATAGGAGTAAAAAAAGAGATACCGGTCAGAAATACTCGAGAGATATTAAAGGCAATAAATAAGATAATACTAATAATAGTAAGAAAATAGCTAAAGACTCTATTTAAAAGCATATATTACTTATTAAGTATATATTATTAGAAGAGTAGCCGCATTACTCTTCTAATAATACTAAATCTAGATAAATACCTCTAGTAATTCAGTTTAAAGAACTAGAAGACAAAAAAAATTCTAGCTATACCTTACCTAATTTTATAAAAACTAAAGAAGCCGCTAATAATATAAAAATAAAGGAGCCCTCTATTAATATAAACCCTTAAAATAATAATAAATAAGTTAAAAAGCCTTTTAGTAAGATTAATAGTAGTATAATTAAAGAAGCCACAGAATTTCTTATAGGGGGAAAAGAATATCTAATCTTTTACCTAAAGCTTACTATAGACTTCTATCTAAGACCTAAATATTTTATTTAGTTATATCTATAAAAAAGATATATAGCGCTTAGATTAGCCTTTAATAAAAACCTTATATAATAGGAGCTTATAGGATAATTCTATTCTTCTATATTTTAAAATAAAGAAGGATTTAATTTATAATATCCTGCGCAGGAAATAAAGATTATACTATATTATAAGAAAAAAATAAATAATAAGGCTATAGAGGTAAAGAATATATCCTAAAATATTTTATAGAAGATTATTAGATAAGATATAATATATTACCTTATTTAGCTGGCTTTTTTTAGAGAAAAAAAATTATTATTTATAAGTTTATTATAAAAGAGAGTATATAGAAGAAAATAAAAAAAATAAAATTATAATCCTAAGAGATATATAAAAATAAAGCCTTATATCTCTGCATAATAAAGCTATTATAGGAAAGCCTTTTAAAGGGAGTAATATTACTTTAAAATATAAATAGATATTAATATCTAATAACCAGAGAATAATAATATTAAAGGGGAGAAGCTCTAATATA